GTAAAGTGAAATCGTACTATTTAAAATTTTTATTGTTAATTATAAGAGTTGTTTTAAATTGAAAATATATTTACACCGAATTTTAATATTTTAGCATTTTAAAGTCTAATAGTTAACCAATCGTGCAGTGAACTTTTGCGAAAGTAAACAACTTGTGTTTCGCGCGCTCATATGACCTTACGCAGTTGCGAGCGCCGTAAAACCCTATACTACTATACTATAATATGAGTTATTTGGAAAATGGCATAACAGTTAAGTCAGTGTCCCATTGTTTCTTTGCTTTGTTCTAGCTGTTCTGTTAGTGTCTATAAATAAAGCTATGTGATGGGTTTTTCTTTTGCCTTGTTGGAGTGCATAAACTCATTACCTTTCTTTTTCGTGTTTAAAATTGCATACCCCTTTGATTCTGACTTAATGGACTCTGCGAGGGAGATTGCAAGTTGTTTGTCCCATTTTTACTCATGGCCCTGTGTATTACTCTCGAAGCTTCATTACTCATAAACTGTCCTATTGCTTTTAGATATTTATGTATTGACCTGCATTTCAAACTCAAATTGGGACTTCTTTGTGAAGGTGTTCCTTTTTCATGTGATAAAAGGATCAAATGTAGTAACTACATAAAGTGAAGAAGCGTTATCCAACATTTGGAAGTTAGGAAATGGATTTTTCCTGTTCATGTACTTTTTAGTTTTTAAAAAGATACATTGGTCAGATGCCTATTTTTTTCATTTTTGAGTTTTGATTTGCCTTGCTGTCTTTACCATGACTGAATGAATGTTGAATAAAATTATGCGTTTTCTTTTTTATACTGTGGTATCAAGTTGAAGGCTATGAGAGCTGGTTTGCTTAAAGTCATCCCTGAAGCTGTGCTGGACTTGCTGACATGGCAGGAACTAGAGTCACGTATTTGTGGGGAGCCAGAAATTACTGTTGAATCCCTTAAAAAAAATAGTAAGTTGTCTGTTCTATGTGTTGGCCATATTTATATAACTTTATTAATTTACTTTTGTAAGGTGAAGGACCTAACTTTCATTATTCTTTAAGCAGATAAAATAATCATCCGTTGTGTCTTTTCAAATCATAATTTTTTATTCCTTTGTTCATTGGTCATTGTTTATTTTAGAAGTACATTGCCGCAACCCCCTTTGCCTCCTCCTCTGGGCTCCTGACTCTTTCTGCAACCTCTCTACTGCTACTACTTGGCTCCTTTTTACTGCTGTATTTCAGCCACACCTGATGTTACTTGTACATGAAAGAATATTTAACACTAACCTTTTGGTTGCCTGCGGAGATGCGTTTTACAGTTACAAGGGTTAGCCAAACCTGTCTCTCTCTCTAGATCGTTTGATTCTTTCCTCTGCGGTGGGGCCTCGATGCGTTGGAATCTCACAACATAAGCACAGAAATGGACTGAGGCTCTGAACAGCCATTCTCCCTTTCTCCACACCAAAATCTCTGCTGGCCTCCTTTGCCTCGATACAGCTCTTCCCTCTACCCTGCTGTAATCCTGACTGAACTCGTCTCACACTTACTCACTCACTCTCTCTGCTTTACACACTTGCGCCAAACAAAACAATAGGCTAGGCCTAGCTTCCTGTTATTGACCAACACGCCAGATTGCCAAATAAACAGCTAAACAGACCACAACACCCCTGATCTTGGGGTAGGTAAGATCTAACACCAAGCCTTCTCGGATAAGGGTAGAAATTTCAGAGGTTCCATATGCAAGTTGCACCCGTTAAAGATCCCGTAGTTGTCCAAAATCGATATGAGTTTGCTTCGGCCGCCCCCCACCCAGGCAAAATTCAAAATTAATTCCTATCAAACTGATTATGCTTAATGTGTCCTACGCGCTCACATGACCTTATGCAGTTTTGAGTGCTGTGTAAAACACTTACCAAAACAAAACGAAGTACGAGGGGGGTTCAATAAGTCTTTGGCCTAAATATGAAGGAATAAAGATAGAGCTTTGTAACTTACCACATATACTTTTATTTTTCTACATAGTCACCATGCAGAGTAACACATTTCTACCACTTCTCTTTGACCTTCAAAAGCCCTTGAGAGAAAAATGACCCAGAAAGGGCCCCTAACCAGTCTTCAACAGCTTCAATGGTGTCCTCGTTGTCATGGAAATGACGTTTTTTGAGTGATTTTTTAAGATTAGGAAACAGAAAAAAGTTTGAGAAGGCTAGGTCTGGTGAATAAGCTGGATGTGGCAGGATTTCAAAGCCGCACTGTTCTGCTGTCTGGACTGCTTGTTGTTCCCTGTGCACAGGGGCGTTGTCATGCTGTAGGAAGACCCAATTACGAAGTTTTCCACGCCTTTTTCTCCCCAATTCGGACTGCAATTGTTATCAGTAAACCTGTATAGTAGTCTCCTTTGACCGTTTTTCCATTTTCCAGGTAGTCAGTCATCATGATACCTTCACAATCCCAGAAAAACGACAGCATGACCTTTCCACTTGACAGTGTTACCTTTGCCTTCTTTGGTGAGTGAGAAGAAGGGGTTTTCCGTTGAATGGAGGACATTTTTTGTTCTGGATCAAAATGATAAATCCATTTTCATCCTTAGTCACCATTGTTTTATAGAAATTTGTGTCATTGGACTCAATTCGAAGGAAAGTTTTGCAGGACTCAACCCTCTGCTTCTTTAGCTCACTTGTCAAAAGGTGGGATACCCACCACGCAGACACCTTATTCATGTCAAGATGGTAATGGAGAATCGTTTCAATTGACCCTACACTGATTTTTGTCTCACTTGAGAGCTGTTTAACAGTTAAACGTCGTTCTTTCAGAACTAGTTTCTTCACTATGGGTACGTTCTCTTCAGTTACCACAAAGGAAGGGCGACAAATTTCGACAATTTCCTGAAAAATGTGCGAAGGAGATTTCCCCTCCAAGTATAAAAACTTAATAACTGAGCGATATTCAACAGGCTCCATGGCACAGCTTTAGCAAAGAAAAACAAACGTTTTTGTGAATAGTTTCATTGAACACGCTGACTAGTGCCTTGTTATTGTCGGATTTTCCTGAAAATTTTGCATGGTGTGTTCCAAAGAAATTGTCTGAAGGCTGGCGAAATTTCATTACTCTACTATGATTCCTTCATACCCAGACCAAAGACTTATTGAACCACCCTCATACATTGCCATTGTAGTATTTTGGAGACATTCACAGAGAACAATCTAGACTGTAATTTAGTCCTTAATTCTTCCAGTCTTTGCAACCCTTAATTCAGCTACCCCTTGCTGTTATGATTCCGATAATTATTTTTGTCTCATCAACGTATATAAATATAGTCTTTATTTGAAGATGAACAAGTTTCTGCTATCATAGTTCTAACTGTTTTTGCCTCTTCAGCTTACTACAGTCTCATTGACGAAGATGATCCAAGGATCGAAATGTTTTGGAGTGCAGTGAAAAATTTTTCTAATGAAGACCGGAGCCACTTGCTGAGATTTATAACAGGGAGAAGGAGACTTCCTGTGTCCATCTTCATTACAGCTGGGAGGATGTAAGACAACCTTCTAAGTGTCAAAGATAACTCTCTGTTGTGTCTGGGAGTTTCCTATGGTTTATAAAATCCTTGAGAACATTCTGAAATATTGATTATCCAGTTTAGTTTCCATCTTGTGGAGCAGCGAGATTGTTCACTTTTAGCTATGCAACCATACAGTATACAGTGACACTCACTTTAAGTATACTAGCAGGGTTCCTTCTATACTGGGAAAATGGGGGAAAAGCCGGGAATTTCATTTTCAGGTTTCCCGGTCGGGAAAACACCACAAATATGAATGAAAAGGGAAATATATGGGGGAAACTCGGGGAAATCAAAAGGCTGCCTATCATTATGAATTTGACAGAATCTATATATATAAAAGTTGTCTTGGGAGGCTTTATGCATGTAGCAAGGTTTACTTCACCAGTCAAATGGCCCCAAAATGAATCTCAAGACAGTGAGAACTGCTCATGGAGTGTTTACAATGAAAGGGAAACAACTGATTATATAATGGACAAGCAACTGTGGTGGATTATGGATTATTATTATCTCCCCCTTTTAGTTTACAAAATGACGTTAAATTAAAATTTGCAAGGGAACAATGTCTTATTCACATGTGGGCTAAAATGTAGTTTTTACTTCTTGTTACGGTTTATACTTTAAATCCACCCTGGCTGAAGCAGTCTTTTTAGGCAACTGAAGTGTTGGAAAATAAGGTCCTTCCTGTAAAAGTAACTTGTAATCCACCAGAAAAAAAAAATATAGTAAAATAAACCTATAACTGTTGCTAGTCTACACAGCAACTTAAATCAGGTGAGATCAGCCTACACATTCAGGGTGCTGCTCACCTGAAAGAGGCCATTTGGAAAAATAAATTCCTAACGAACAGTCTACTGTTCTCTATTTTGATTACAGTGAAAAAGAAAAACAAACGAACACATCACAATACTAGCTCAAAGCACAATCTAGTTACACATTGGCTTTGACAGTCCATGAGTTTCATATCATTCGTCACGGTAACGTGCTGGCTTAACGATGGCTCTGCCGCTTCTGCTGACTTGCGGTGCTGCCACTGCAGTTGTAGATGTCGCCTGCTGATTCTGCATTTGTGACATCACTGGCTCCATGGACAAGTGCGATGATGGAGATGGTGGAGGCTGCTCTGGAGGGCCTCCACTGTTGCTCCCAGGATTTGGAGGTAGGACTTAATCAGCATGCGTAGAAATCGGAGATTGGTAGACCTCCGAGGACTCCGACGCTGGAAACTGGATGTACGGCGACCTCAGACTGTCGCCTCCGCAGAAGATGGCGCCGATTCCGCCTCAGCACGCCGCCTGCTGCCGTGTTTACTAGGTAAGACCTAGGTGCACACTGCTTTACAACCTTGGCTGGCTACTTCCAACCCTGTTGTCCATCCAGTTTGATGAAAACCGGATCACCTGGTCTAAGCTCAGACAAGGCCCAAGCTCCGAAGTGTCTGTCATGGTAGGACTTTTGTTTCTGCTTGTAGACTCTGTCCTTTTCGCGCAGCAGATGCGTGTTGACTGCGCAAGGCTGTAAAACTGTGGGAAGTGTTGGGAGTATCGTCTTCATTTTCCTCCCCATCACTAGCTCTGCCGGGCTAGTCCCCAGTCCTGGTATTGGCGTAGCTCTGTACGTCAACAATGCCAGAGCATAGTCTTCTTGCCTTAACAGGCGCTTGGACAGTTTGACTCTGCACTCTGCCGCTCTGTTCCCAGATGGAAAGTGTGGGGAACTGGTAATATGCTGGAAACCCCAGTCTTGGGCAAATCGTTGAAATTCGTGTGACGTAAGATTGGTCTGATTGTCACTGACTACTGTCTCTGGGATGCCATGTCTCGCAAAGATGGTTTTCAGTTTCATGACTAATGTTGAGGCTTTCTGGTTGGGCAAGTACCCAATTTCTGGATAACGTGAATAGTAGTCGGTGACCACAACGAATGACTGACCTTTCAGTTCAAACAGGTCAAGTGCTACCTTCTCAAATGGCCTGTTGGGAAGTGGCGTTGGAAGCAGAGGCTCTTTGGGGTGGGATGCTCTCTCTTCCAAGCACTGTCGACAATTTGCCACTCTTTCCTTTATGTCTTTCCCAATCTGTGGGTACCACACTGACTGCGCTGCTCTCTCTCGGCATTTAGCTATTCCCATATGACCATGGTGAATCTTCTCAAGAACCTCTTGTCTCATCTCTAATGGGACGACTTCTTTTCCCTCTCAACAGTAGCCCGTCTTGCACACTCAGCTCGCTTCTGATATCATACAAGTTTCTGGCAGCTAGTTGAACGTTTTCTTTGTATGCAGGCCATCCATTCAGTGTGTAGCTCATGGCACAGTTCAGTTCGACGTCTTCTTTCGTTGCCCATTTGAGCTTTTCAAGTGTTGTGTCTCTGACTGGCCACGACGCTTCTACATCTCTTACATGTGCGTGCACGTCCCTATGTGGCGCTTTGTCTTCGTCTGCTAGTGGTGCTCTGCTGAGAGCGTCAGCCACTAGCATCTTCTTGCCCTCAACGTATCTGGCAGTTGCGTTAAATCTTAGCAATCTAAGTAACAGTCTCTGGCACCGAAGAGGTGTGTCTGATAAATCCTTCGTATTGATCAAAGGCACTAGGGGTTTGTGATCTGTCACAATCTCTACTGCTGGCAGTCCGATGAGATATTTCTCAAATTTCTCGCACGCCCATGTGGATGCTAAGCACTCCTTTTCTATTTGTGCATATTGCTTTTCTGGCTTTGACAGTGTTCTGGATGAGAAAGCGACTGGACGATCACCCTCTTCGTGTTTTTGCAGCAGCACAGCTCCCAGGCCATAGCTACTGGCATCAGCACTCACTGTCGTTGGCAGTTCTGGGTCAAAGTATGCCAGTGTCGGTGCTTCTGTTACCAGTTCCTTGACCTTTTTCACTGCTTCGATTTGAGATGGACCCCATGTCCACGCTCTTTCCTTCTCGAGTAGCTCTGTCAAGGGGCGGGCAACAGTGGAGAGATTTGGAAGGTGACGCCCGACGAATTGTACCAAACCCAGCATTCTGCGCAGCTCAGTCAGGTTTGTGGGGTCTGGCATTTCGATGATTGCTGACGTCTTGCCGTCATCCGGTCTGATCCCGTCCTTGCTGACGATGAACCCCAAGAATTTAATCTCATCCTTTCTCAGCTCACATTTTTCTTGGTTCAGTTTCACCCCGGCATTCTCAAGCTTGGAAAATGTTTCTTCTAAGTGTATCTTGTGCTCCTCTGTGTTTCTGCTGTGAACAAGAATGTCATCTTGGAAACTAATTGCTCCCTCCTGATCACCGAGAATCTGTTCTATCGTCCTGTGAAAAATCTCGCTCACCGAGCAGATCCCTTGCGGCAAGCGTTTGTAGAAGAACCTTCCTTCAGGGGTAATAAATGTAGTCAGTTTTGCCGACTTCTCATCAAGTGGAACTTGGAAATAGCCGCTTGTAGCATCTAGTTTGCTGAAGATTGTCGAACCCTTTAGTTTGTGCAAGACCTCTTCAACGACAGGGAGCATGTATTTCTCACGTTTGACGGCTGCATTCAGCTTTTTGTAGTCAATGCATATTCTTACTCCTCCTGATGGTTTGATCACTGGCACGATCGGTGAGCACCAGTCTGTTGGTTCGTCGATTTTCTCTATGATCCCAGCCTGCTCCATTTTCCTTAGTTCTTCTTTGACCTTGCTTCTGAGGGAAATTGGGATTCTACGGGCTGTATGAACACTGTACGGCTGAGCATCTTCCTTCAACTCAATTTTCACTGGTTCAGTTTTGATAGCATTTTTATCTAAGCCTCCAAACAGCGAATCTACCCGTACT